AGATCAGAGGTGTCCAGGTGATTTCTTGAGTGCCCCAAGACAGCAAACCCACAACGAGAGCCAAGCTTGGTGACCTCAGATTCAGTGTTCATGATGCGAAGTGGCGAGATGTTTCCTCCTCTGCATCGATTCCATTTGCCAGAGGATAAAATTGTCCTCATTCTGTAGGGAATACCACTTTTTGCTCTTCCACTTTAATTCAACTTCATTTGTTTAGTTAATAATCCGGGAATGTTGCTGGATTAGCAGAAATTTGATGAGAACCCTCACCTTCCGCATCACAGGTAATGGAGTGGAGTAGAAACAGCACCAAAGGCAGAACCCTTGCGCCCTGTCCCCAAGGCGCCTCCACGGACAGGTTAAAATTGACAGCTGGCATGGCTTCTTCTGCTCTCCTTCTGGGAAGCCCAGGTCAAGCACTTGACACTCCGCATCAGCTCTGACCTGAAGATTAGCCTCAGCAAGCTGCGTAATTAAACTGCTGGGATTCGTTTCCCCTGACTGGACAGAAGAGCCTCGCAAGGTGACGGCTCTGCGAAGTGATAGCGCTGAGTCCGACGTTAGCAGTAAAGGAATCCGAGCTCAGAAATCTCTCCAAGCTTCTGTTAATGAGGCAGAGACAGCATTTAGCAGGGAAAATGAGGTCACTAGAAAGAAAACTTACCCTTTCCCCCCGCTTTAATGAAGAGCCAATCATTTTGCCTCCTTTTGAATTCGGGCCTAAATTTATTGTCCTGAATAAACCTCAATTTAAATGAACAAATAAGTTTTCCTCAAGGGTGTAGTAATGTTGTTTAAACTCACATTTATGGGGAGCGAGGGAAGTTAGAGAACTCTAAAGTAGCACCAGGATATGTCAAGAAGTTTGAATCCTTGAGTCTGTTCCGACCAGAACAAACTGAAATAGCCACAGCCCTCAGCTGTTCAGCGGCCTGTGCTTTATTTATTAAAATGTGTTTAAAAAACATGATGACTTTTTCCTTGGATACTTCCTTTCCTTGAAACATTATTCCAGCACATGTAACTTGTTCTCCCAGGGTTCTTACAGCTGTCACATGTAGATGTTGCAATGATAGTCACACCAGCAACATTTTCCATACACTGCTATGAAAACTGGATCCTAAAAGCTATATTATATGCTTATAGTATGCGTCTTCTGGGCCTGGGAGTCTCTGATTTCTGTGATTTCCTGAGGAGTTGAGAACTAGGAGAGGAGGAGTCTAGTGTAGCCTTTTCATCCTGAAGAAAGTGTTTTCTGTCATCAGCACCTAAGTTAAACGTTCCTGAAGTTTTTCCATGCTGTTCTCTGGTTTGCACCAAACCACCATTCAGGTCTTTAGCAAGTGGCGGTGTTAAAATTGATATTTTGAGTTTACCTTCTACCCTCCTCTCCACTTTCACATTAACAAATCAGCCATCTTTCTCTCCTAAAGCTTTTTTCCTCTTTTTTTTTAGAATATTCTTTCTTTTTTAAAAAAATATTTATTTACTTTTTATGTATACAATATTCTGTTTGTATGTATGCCTGCAGGCCAGAAGAGGGCACCAGACTTCATTACGGATTGTTGTGAGCCACCATGTGGTTGCTGGGAACTGAACTCAGGACCTTTGGAAGAGCAGGCAATGCTCTTAACCTCTGAGCCATCTCTCCAGCCCCTCTTTTTTTCCTCTTATAAGACACGGTTTTCTTTTCAATTTCACCTGTTCTAGTAACATCTGTAGACGCAAAGGACAAAGTGTGAATAGAAAAGAGTGATCAGGAGACTGTGAAGGGAGTGGCTGGAATAAAGAGGAACCACATGTTCTCACCTGTTTCCCCCCATTTTTATTGACTTCTGGCAGATGTAGGAATATGGAGAAAGAGTGGGATGGGATTAATGTTAAAATCTTCCATTCTGTCCCTTAATCTCTCTTTGGTGTGCTAGTTCAAATGACATTGACTTTTAAAGAACAGTTCAAGTGTATTTAAAAGCTTAGACTTTCAACTTAAACTAAAGCCTAAATTCAATTTAAGTGGCATCCTCCGGACCTGTTGCCTACTCCCATGAGGACGTTGTTTGATAACTGTAACTGAAGTCCCCTGAAGACTGGGTGTCCTGGTGCATCTTGCTTCATCCAGCTCTGTTCTTAACTCTTTTTCAAAATAAATTTGTGGAAAGTGATACAGCTACCCTATGAGATTGCAGGAATAATTTTTTGATTGTTTACTTGAGATAGTAATATAATCACATCATTTACCCCTCCTCTTTTTTTTTTCTAAAACCTCTCATTATGCCCATCCTTTCAAATTTTGCTTACTTTGCTCAAACTTTGTTCTCTTTCAAATTCTTGGCGTCTTTTTCACTGTTTTTCTGTAGGTCCATGCATATGTATATACATACATTCCTAAATATAATCTAGTCAGTCTGTATAGTGTTACCTTATATGTATGTTAAGACATGACTATTTGGTATTGGACAACCAATTTGTGTTCTCTTCCCTGGAGAAGACTTTTTATCCTGCCCTCAGTATTCCTTCATTGCCTGTAGTTCTTTGTGTCGAGTTGAAGCCTCATGATCTTTCCTCCCCCTAAAATGGTGAGTCTATTTCTGTTGTGCTTGTTCAGCTCATACATAGGCGGTCTATAGGGGTGTAACTTCCGACATTTCTAGGGGACACAGTCTCACAACAAACTCCCTGATCCCATGTCTTTTACAGTCTTTCTGTCTCCTCATCAATATTTCTGGGTTCCAAACTTTAGCTCCTGTGCATTCTATCTTTTTGTCTGTCTGCCTGCCTGCCCATCCATCCATCCATCCATCCATCCATCCATCCTTACATTCAAACTATCTATGGATCTATCTACTTGTGTATGTATGTATATATGTATGTATGTACGTATCTACCTACCTACCTACCTACCTACCTACCTACCTATCTACTTATTTACTTACCTTCCTTCCTGTCAAGCAGAAGCAAGCATGCACATGCATGGTAGTTTATGGCACTACATTTTCTAAAGTTAGGATTTGGTGAATGCCATCCCAGATCTCATCAGAGACACTTCCCTTCCTCCAGTACAGTAAGAATGATCTGGCCAAGGTTACCAGATTTCTACCAATGGCTACTACCAACAGATGCTTCTAGATTTTATTTTCACTGGACTTACTTGTATATTAGAAAGTATTTCTTCAAGTCATATTTCAAAATCCAACCTCCCAAATCTGCAAGTTGTTATTTAGCTTTTATACAACCTTTCCTTTTTTTAAATTTATTTATTTATTAAAGATTTCTGCCTCCTCCCCGCCACCACCTCCCATTTCCCTCCCCCTTCCCCGATCAAGTCCCCCTCCCTCGTCAGCCCAAAGAGCAATCAGGGTTCCCTGCCCTGTGGGAAGTCCAAGGACCACCCACCTCCCTCCAGGTCTAGTAAGGTGAGCATCCAAACTGCCTAGGCTCCCACAAAGCCAGTACGTTCAGTAGGATCAAAAACCCACTGCCATTGTTCTTGAGTTCTCAGTAGTCCTCATTGTTCGCTATGTACAACCTTTTCAATCTCCCTGGTCTTCACTGACTCCCATCAGAAATCCGCAATGTTTGCATTACCAGAACTACAGCCTGATTCCAGGTTTCACAACTATCTCCACTACAAAGGAGAAACAGCTGGAGAGCAGCAGATGGTACCGGAAAGTATCTTTGCTTTCAAGTTTGTGTGTATTAGATGCGCAGATACCTGCCCTGTTTTGATAATCTAACTCCTTGACACAATACTCAGAATAGTGCCAGGGCTGACCTGGCTGAACCTGCTGAGCTCTTCTCTTTATTTCTAGCCAGGACTTGGTCCTACCTTATTGAATTTACATATGCTAGCTCCCTTGTCAATCTTGGCTTCTATTCCAGTAGCTTCCATCTCTTTTTTCTTCTCACCCTGCCATCTTTCCATCCATTTAACTCTTCAGTTGGTAGCTCACTTCCTTCCAGTTCTGTTTCTTCCCCTTGAACTCACCCAGTCTTCCTCAGTGATGTCCAGTTACATCTCCATAGGCCCCCTTGCATGTGCCCAAGGGAAATCAGGTTTGCAGTAGTAAAATGGACTTGGTAGTGATCTTGTTCTTCAAGTTTGCATATTGACCTTTATTGCTTTTCTGACTAGGTTCCTGATATGATCTGTATTTCTTCACACCTACCAATCAGCATCTTCTGCCTTGTCTATTTCAACATAACTATTATTTTTTTCCCTTTAGATTCTCATTCAGTTCTGACATGTCTGCACCTTCTGGATTATTTCTCATCTATTAGCCATTTTTTTGATCATCCTCATTTTATGTTACATTGTTACTGTAAACATGAGTTTCATCACAACACATTGGTTTAAAGGACAATACTTCATGTAGTTTTGTTACATATATACATAGACACACACATATATGCATATATAAAGTAAAATAAATCAATAAAATTTTATCAGTAAAACTCTATGATATGGCACTGTATTTGATTTATTTTATTTTATTTTATTGAGAATTGATCATTTGGAACTGCTGGCAAGCTAAGTTCCTGACATAACTTGTAAGTTATCACGAAATCTTGCAACATTCATTAGTACCTCCTTAAGCATATTGGAACTGTGTGAACTCGGTCATTTAGTTACTATCCAAACTTGACTTTGATTATATGCAGAAGGTTTAAGAAATAAAAATACCAACTGGGTCATGGTGGTGCACTTCTTTAATCCCAGCACTTAGAAGGCAGAGACAGGAGGTATTTTCTGAGTTAGAGACCAGCCTAATTGACAGAACTAATTCTAGGATAGCCAAGCCTACACAGAGAAACCCTGTGTCAACCCCTCTTTCCTTCTAAAAGAAAGAAAGAAAAGAAAGAAATCAAAGTATATAAGAGATACCGTTAAAAGTTTCTAGTGAAGAAAAATCAAATTTCCTGTTAGGGCGTTATAGCTATCTTCTACTGTGGACATTCTTTAAAAGTGACTGTTGTAAATGTTTTCCATTTCTTCCTGACAGGTAATATTTGAGGCTGAAGTCTCAGGAGGGAGAAGCGGTTATATTGCCATTGATGACATCCAAGTCCTGAGTTATCCTTGTGGTAGGTTTTGATTAAGAGTTGTTTTTTTCTGTGTTCTTTCAACACACGCCTTGGATTGGCAGGGACTGTTGATTGTTTATTGACTGGACATTGTTGTCCATTTTATTGTTACTCTCAGGCTTCATGGAAATAACACTGAAGTGTTTACTAGTATTTTCAAATCAAGTTTTCTCCCAACATGTAACTACATGTATGATATGATTATTTTATTTATTTTTAATTAGTGACAACAAATGTAAGTGCAAACACAATTACACAAAGACATTCTAAACCTATGGGGTATCTTGCCATTCTCTAGGAAAACAGAGGCAAGTAACAAATCCTAGTTCAATAACAGAGGAAACAAAAAGCTGTCTAAGGTATCTGATCTGTTAATTTTATACTGCGGGAAGTGAAAATCATGAATCCACTCACCTTCTTCCAAACTTGGGTCTATTTGTAATTATTATCCTAAATATATGAGTTAATCAGCACTAAATAAATAACGTGTTAAAGCAAATCTCAGTTTGCTGACACTCTTTTGTGAGAGCCTTGATAAGTGCTGACAGTTTTTCAGACTTCATACTTCAATTTGTGCTGAATCACATTCCCCAGATCAGTTATTGAAAGCTGTAAGGAGGGCCAGGAAGAAGTTACAGACGACAGTTCAGACTTTCTTCTTGATATGATCTCCCAGTAACAAAATATGACAGGTCCTGTGTAAGAGGCCCTTTGTGCTCCATAGCTTCCATGGTGAGACATCGCTAATGCACTGTGAGCATAATTTATGAGGTCAACATATCAGGGGCAAGGCTCGTGCACCTGCTTGGTGATTGTATCATGTTAACAGCAAAGAACACAGAGGTTGGCTCTTATCTCCTGGTAGTCATGCCGAGACAGAGACCTGTGGATTTGCATTAGTGGTCAGTGTTGTGGTACTGCTGGGCTGGAGTTCGTTTTGGTTCAAGTTGTTCTTGCTCAATTGTGAGTTTTTTCTGCCCTTGAGCTCCAGCTGAAGTCCCAGAGAAAGAGGTTCCAAAGATCAAATCATTTATCCTCTGTGTTATATGCTCAGAAAGGTAACAGTGTGATTCCTCTTCCAGTTCAAGAGAGCTTACTAAACTCACTTACTCCACAGTATAACTGTATTATATTTTTGTCTGTTTTTCATGTCTACATCTTAAATGTCAGGTGCCAAATAAAGGTTTTTGAAGATAAAGAAATTGATGATTATGAGTTGGGCACAGCAACGGCATTGGCTATGTGGTGTGGTTCTGTAATATTATTGTGTAAATTCCCTGAGGCTTAACTTTGGCTGTGCATTTTTTCCTTCAATGGAAAAATAGATTTGGCTTCCGATTTAAAAGGAACTTCATAGTGAGTACAGATTTGACAGTCAAACCACTCATGAGAATGCTCCATGCTCCAGATGCTACTTCTGTTTGTATGATGCTTCTTTTCGGGAACTTTCCAATGGCTATAAGCAAGGAGGAAGGAGATATTCTGTTTTTAATAATCAAAAATGTTTCCTTGTCTGGTATACAACTCTTTAAGTTTGAAAAACTGGAGGAATAGTTATCCAGTTGGTTAAATTGTGGGAAATAGTTACGAGACCACATAGCTATCAGAATGTTAGGGTCTTGATATGCCTCCATTCTGGTTCTCATAGACAGATAGCTACCTGTTTAAAATCTCTTTGGCTTCCTTCAATACAACTTTTACTATCACTAACCCACAAGAGCAACTATTAGCAGTGAGCCTTGAGTTTTCAGTCTCTATGAAAGACGAGCTGATATGAATGTGCGGCATTCAGAAGGCAGAGTAAGAGAAGAAACGGTGTGCTCTAGAGGACGGGAACGTGAATATTAATGCTAGACATTTGTGGGCATAATAACAGTGTTCTCTTGTGAAAAAATTGCATGATATATTTTTTTCTTGTGAACGAAATGTATTTTTCCCTCTATTTTCACAGATAAATCTCCTCATTTCCTCCGTCTGGGTGATGTGGAGGTCAACGCAGGGCAGAATGCTACATTTCAGTGCATTGCTACAGGGAGAGACGCCGTGCATAACAAGTTATGGCTGCAGGTAAGACGCCATTAGCTGCTGAGCTGAAGGCTTTACTTGGGTAAAGACCATCATTGTGTTGTTTGTGGTTGTCATACACAGTCTCCCTCTCCTCTCTCCTCTCTGCTCTCTGCCCCCCATGCATGTGCGAAGGCTGTTTGCATAAATTAGATTTACTTGGCTTTCTGGAGAGTCATAACACATACTTCACTTTTAAATAATCTAACAAAACAAGTGAGGGTGTATAATTAATTGATATTGGTATTGATGTCTAGTCACACCTACTAATTCTTAGACTTTCCAATACATGGAAAAAGAAGTAAAACTAAATTTTTATAATAAATATTTTTTGAAAAGCAAACTAAGAAGACAGCAGTCACATAAGGACTGCCAGACACTCTTAGTTTAAGAATTGTAAGTATTTCAAGAGGGAACTTGCAAGGGTAACAGTGGAAGTTCTCTCTCTCTCTCTCTCTCTCTCTCTCTCTCTCTCTCTCTCTCTGTGTGTGTGTGTGTGTGTGTGTGTCTCCCTTCTCTGTCTTTCTCTTTCAGAACTTTCTGTATACAAGGTGATTGCAGATCTGACATTTGGATATTTGTCTTGTACATGTTAAACCCTTAATATATGCTTATTGGATTGACTGTGACTGACATGCATGTTGGCGAAATGCACGTGCCATAATGCTTCAAAAGAATCAGAAAGATCTGGAGTGCATGAAATCGTTTTGCATTCAGCGAAAGTATTGAAAATCTTGCTGTCACTCTTGGGTGCTAGGAGGGGGCATGCTGGGAGGTGTGTGACAAAGGCAACCCTTTGTGTATGTGTGTGTCCAAATAGGTGTGTGTAGTTGAATAAGTACATGTGTATATGTGTTTGGAAGCTAGAGGGGGGCATTGTATATCTTCCTTAATTGCCTTCTGCATTATTTGGAGACAAGGTCTCCCACTGAACCTGGGCTTTTCTCATTAGGCTAAACTGACCGACTGGTGAGCCCCAGGCGTGTCCCTGTGTTTTCCACTTCAGGGCTAGTACTTGAGACATAATGCTGCCACAGCCACCTCTCTGTTGTCTCAGGCGATCCACACACAGCTTCTAAGGCCCATGAGACAAGGCCTTTACTAACTTCTCATCTGTTGATAGTCTGTTCTATATACATCACAGGAAGGAAAGGGATTTGACTTGTGTAGAATTTTCAATTCCTGTCAATGCCAGCAGATTTCTTAAGGACAAAACATTGAAACGTTAAATGTGTTTTGTGAACACAGATATGGAGATTTAGTTTGCCGTTATCTTCAGAATAGTGAAATTAGTGTGAAGGCTACTTACTAGCTTCCAGCTATTTAAGGATGGTGGTTATAGTGCATCATCATTAAAATGAGATATAGTATAATGTCTAGGATTATGCTAGGTGTTCAGACATCACCTGATTCCTGTATCAGTCCAATTAGGTGTTACTATAGACGTACATCATGTTACATCAACCCACTTATCAGTACTTTGGTAATTTATTTGATTTGCAGTCATTATAATACCTTCTTTTTAGCCCAAATTTAAAAAAGGAAAAAAAAATGTCTTCCTTCTTTTTTTTCATGTTGCCGATTCTTCCTATCCACAGATATTGGGAACTAGGATACTTTATCCCAGGGAGCATATTGTATAATGTGCAATCTGTCTTATGGACTAAATGTGAAGGCTATTTTCTTAGATCTTTCTGTCTGCCAAAGTAAGTAGTTTAGCAAAGGATTTCAGACGTGTATTTTCTAATCATACTGCATCTTTTTTATTTTCCATTACAATGGGAACATTGGTTGATATTTGGTGTAAGCTGCAAGAGCAATAGTCTGTTCTTGGGGAACCAGAAATGGCTCTGCAGTCTGCCACTGGTTTTATGCTCCAGGATTTAATGTGACATTGAAATAAAAAGGGTTTTGTATCCACAGACACCAGCTGCCTTGCGGCAACAAAGCCTTTCTGGACCGTGCTGGTCTGAGGGGGCTGCAGTCAAAATCCCACACATTTTTTGGGCTTCCTCTCTGTGGATTGGCTCATTTTTTTATGGTTTCTTGAAATTTTCCTTCTGCCATTTTTTTAAGCAGTAATGATAGAAAACACTAGTTGGAAGTTTTGCTCTGTTCTATTTACTCGTCTCCTCTTTGGACTCTGCATTGGCCACGGAAAGTGATTTTGTGTCTTTATTTCCAACTTTGACATTGACATTGCATGGATCTCCAGCAATGTGCAAGTTCAACTTGCAGACCAAAAAGCAAGCAATTCTATTTTTTTTTCAGTAATGCCACACAACTTTACTTAATGTTGTTCTCTCAAATTATTCTTTACATGCAAAAAGACACTAAAATATAGAATTTACATAGTATAGTGATGCTTTTATAGAAAACATTTTTTAATTGAATAGTTATTGTTTGGGTGTTTCACTTTTGTAATTTTCTTTGACATGGTCTCATTATATAGTCTTGCCTGGCCTGTAACTATCTATTTAGGCCAGGCTGGCTCAAACTCACAGAAATTTGCCTTCCTGTGCTTCCCAAGTGCTGGTATTAAAGGTGTGTACCACCAGCAAGGCTTGCTTTGACTTTGTGTGTTTCTATGAACCACATGCGTGCGCGGTTCCCAAAGAGGCCTGAAGTCAACACCACATTTCCTGGTACTGGAGTTTTCAGATAGCTGTTAGCTGTTCTGTGGGTGCTGGAAATTGAACCCAGATTCTCTGGAAGAACAAAAAATATAGTTAATCATTGAGCCATGATTTCAGTTCCTTAAATAAAACATTTTTGTAGTGGTTCTATATAACTGTTAACCACTCAAGACTGACTGGTCTTTATGTATACACGAGCCTATCAAATATTGCTTAGTACTTCAAAAGCAATTATGTTTTGCCAAAAGTAGTAAAAAAAAAAAGTCAACAGGAAGATTTGTGATTCCATGATGAAGCCATGCATACTTAGTCATATGAACAGATGTTGGGTTATTTTTATTTAAGGTAGAGAATAACATACTGTGCTTCGGAAGACCAGGGATGAATTCTAACCTCTTCTCTACTGCTTCTAACCTCTTTCCTTGTGATGAGCTTAGATTTCAGTGGCCTGGCTGGGCCTATGTTTCCTTATCTATAAGAGAAGATGTTTGGTGGAGACTAAAATCCTTTGCAGCTCTGAAACATTAAATTTGGTCTTTGTATTATTTGTGATGATCTAAATTGTGGCCTTTGATAACCTTCTTTTTGTAATGGAATAATGTAAAAATTTTATGCTGTTAGATTTACATGAAAAGAAATGGTCTCTTCAATTAACTTTGATTGTATGAACAGGTGCTGAAAATGTCTGCCCAGAGGACCAAGAACGAATGTACCTGCATCAGCTCAGTAAAGGTTACCACATTCTCTTCTAGAGTAGGTGGTGGTGTGCCGTACCATGGAGTTGGGTGGAATAGTAAGTGGCGGTCAGCCTCCCAGGTCCTCCACACAGTACAGGTCACATTGTGGTAATTCAGTCAGCAAACTGTCTCATTATGGACTAAAGTACCCTAAGGTCCGGCAGCCTCCAGTATTCCATTTTAACAGAAAGCAACATGCTACACTCCTCCCTGGAGGGTGCCTAGTGTGGTTCCTCATCGTAAGTGTCCTTTTCAGGTTTCCAGAACACAAGAACATCTGAGGCATGCAGTCTCTCTCTGCTTGTAGTTTCTGCATTGTGATATTTACTTCTCAAATTTTTATTATCTCTAGCGGCATGCCTGTTAGGTAAGTTGAGAGGTGAACGGGAGAGCAAACATTTAGAGACTCTAAGCAAACCCAAGACATCTCTCTGTTTCTATCATGGTGGCTGTAGGAGCTTAGAGGAGCATGAGTCCATGGAGTTATCCAGCTGGTGTTTGAAGACGTTCTTCTCTAGGTTTATAGAGTACTATTACAAAATGTGTGACCTCCTTGTCCCCAGTGAGTAATCTCACTGTCCGTAGTGCAGTGTGCTGAAACACTTTCTGAAATGGTTTGGTAGTCTATAGACTAGCCCTGTAATGAAATTCTGAGGCTTTCTGGGAGATAGTTTTTAAAACTTGTGTTATGTATATTGTCATTTGGTATAAAACACAGTTTTTGATATAGTAAAAGAGACAGGATAAAGCCTTTATTTAGTCCTGTGCAATGCACCTTCCTCTCTTTTCATGAAGCCCAGTGAAGTCATATGTGTTGTGGGCTTAAATGCTCAACAGTTTTGCCAAGTTAACAATATTAATTTTTTTGCTTGTAAATATGTTTTTTATTAATTTTTTTAGCTTTTTGTTTTATTTCTAAGGAACTCTAATTCTAGAAAATTGGTAGTCCACATGTTAAGGTTTATGGTAAAACTCAGGTTACAGGAATTAAGAACACCAGTAGAATTTTACATATATGCTGAAATATTTTTTTTTAAATATAATAATAATTTAAAAATATCTGCCTATATTCCTGAGACAGGATGATGATGTTCATACAGGAATCCAATATGAGGTTACATCTTTTATAGGTTAATATTGTCTATGTTCCTTTTTTAGGCTATCATTTTTATATGAATAGCGATAATGCGCCTGATCACAAGTGAATAGGACTGGGGTTTATGTAACTCCGTTGGTAGTCTGGTTGCCCAGAATACATGAAGCAACCGGGTGCAGTCCCCAGCGCTACATCAGCCAAGCATGGTGGCCCACACCTGCAGTCTCAGTTACTCAGTAAGTGAAGGCAAAAGCATTAGAAGGTTAAAGTCCATCTAGGGAAGTTTGAGGTCAGCTTGGCATACCTGTCACTTTTCTCCAAATAGTTCAACAGTGAATTTATAAGCAAATGACCAACAGGTTGCATTAGTGTCTTTTACAAACCGACTCTAGAGATATTCAGACATATCTGTAACATATTTATTCACCATAATTAATAGCTTAAATTTTTAAAGGAGCCTTAGCATTAGAATGTATGAGCAGCTTGGTTTCCATTTAAGCAATAGGATTTGCTTTAGTGCTTAACAATAAACAA